GAAATTAGGAGATGATGCTTTGAAATTTTCAAATAGATGGATTTATAAATTTAAATGATGTAATAATCTTAAGAGTTTTCGGTTGCATGGAGAAGCAAAGAGTGCACCATTGTCTTTTCTTCCAGAATATAGACAAAAATTACATGAGTTGATCAAAAACTATACCTTGAATAATGTGTTTAATGCGGATAAAACAGAACTCTTTTTTTATATATCACCAGACCAAACACTTGCGTCTCAATCAAGGCCTGGATTTAAAAAGTTAGTTAGTCATAAATTATAATTAAAATTTAATGCAGAGTAAGTTTCTAACTATATCTGAGGTAATCTTAAGTTTTTCTCTAGGTACAATTAGAAAATTACTACCATATAGCATTGCATACAGTAATTAAAAAATTACTACCATATAGCACTATATACAGTAACTTCTAAAAAAAGTATCTCCTTTAAGTAGTATCAGAATACTATTCAATTGTAAATTTTAAAATTTTGAAAAGTATCCTGGTACTAATCAAATATATAGTAATTTATTAATGATAATGACAGTTATTTTAATGACAAATAATTTAACTAGTATAATATAATGTGACAATTTAGCAAGTTATTAGTTTTAACAGTTAGCTTGTTGATAAAATATTGTTTATTAAATAATACAGACCTATAATTTGTTACATTTCATGATTCGTATAATTTTGTTATACAATCAACTTGCATAATCAATGCTCTTTTCTCTAGTAAGATACCCCATCACACAGTACTTATGAGGGTATTAGAATTATTATATTTAATAATAATTACATATTTAAATAATTAATCATTTATTATATATAGTAATTATAATAATTAGAATCGTTCACGAATCAGTATTATGCTAGCATGCAATGCAACTGAAACTGAAAAATTAAAGCCATTAGTAATTGGATCTTTGATTTCACCTTGTGCACTTTTTCGTGTCAATTACAATTCTTTATCTGTTATCTATCGAGCAAATTTCCAAGCATAGATGCGAAATAACATATTTGTCAAGTGGTTAAAAAATTTGGATCAAAGATTTCACATTCAAAATCATCAGGTTTTAATATTAGTAGATAATGCCTCTTTTTATTTTTACAATCAATCTAATATAGATCAATCATGTGAATCAGATAGGTCAAGTTTCAACTTAAGTGAAGAAATATCTGATAATAATTCAGAACCTGAAATATCAACTACTTTATATGGGAATCATCGAGGTTGAGGTCATCCAAGATTAACCAGAGCCAATAATTGTATTAAACATAGTAGCAGTCATAGTAGTTGCACTATTGGTAGTAGTATAGACCATTATAGTAGTGATTATGGTCAGCCACATACTATACCTGATTATTCAAATGTACAATTAACTAATATTAAGCTTAAATTTTTATCAAAAAACACAACATTTCACCTTCAACCAATAGATGCAGGTATTATTAAAAGCTTCAAATCTAAGTATAAGCAAAAAAATATATTAGACATATATTAACACAGTTTAAACAAAATGAAGATTTGACAAAGTAAAACATTTAATTGTGTTATACAAAATTAATTAATTGATTCTTATAGCTTGATTGAATCAGTTTTTTCTTAAAAATTTTGAGCTTTTAATTAGTTTTACCACAGAATCCCGACACTTAAAATCCTATACTGACAGTACCAAATTCCGTCAAGTAAAAATCCTAACAATACATCAGAATTTTAACTTGACAGAATTTTGAATATCAGGATTTTGAGTATCAGAATTCTGTTTTAAAGCCTTTTCGATCTGTTTTTTTATAGTTTTCTAAATAAGAACAAAATTTTTATAAAGGTTAAAAAGTTTAATTTGCAGATTATTTTTAAAATTCATATGTTATAAGAACCAACTAATTAATTATATTAACTTATCAATTTAAAAATTTTTATTACTGATTCTAGTTTTACTTTTTTAATTAGAAAAAAACTAAATATTAAGAATGCTATCTATTACATATCTGAGTCTTGGGACACAATTGATAATCAAGTAATTGTTAATTGTTAGAAGAAAACTGAAATTTTGCCATCAGTTTCTCATGAAGAAATAGATGCCGCTGTTAGTATTCAAGATGCATTATTAGAGCAGCAAGAACAAGATGTTGATATGCTAATAGTAGATTTGACCTCTCAAAATCCAGATCCAAAAATCAAGCACCAATTAAATACATATTTAGATCTCAACAATTTGCCTATTGTAACTGAGAAGAAACTTGATTCTAAAATTATCGAAATTGTCTGGATGAAGCAAATCAAGTTGAAAATAGTGATCCTAATAATACAGATGAAGAGGAACTAGAAATTTCTGCTTTAGAGAGTTTGAAAAGTTTAAATAAGTTTATTAGTTTTTTTGAACAACAAAATGATACTGATTTCAAAACCAAACATCTTAAAATTTTTCATAAGTACTTATTATTAGTGAACTGAAAATATATTGAATCTAAATGGCAAACATCTATTAGTGATTTTTTAGACTGTTAGATAATGAAGAGAATGATATTATATTATAAAATTTTTTTTTTTTGTCCTTTTTTTTGGAGGTAATTTTTTGCTTCTTGCATTATATAATTTTATCTATATATGATATATGTAATTATCATATACATATTATTGATATTAAGTTTGTAATAGCCTTATAACAACTAAATATATACAGTTCAATATAAGAGTATTTCTCTTTTGCAGT